TGAATGACGTGGCATAAACTAACGTTGAAAGTATATTACGTGCATCGACATATCGTCAAGTCTGTCAACAACTAGTGATCGATTGTATAGTTTTTTATTAAATTTAATGAACTCAAAAATATTTTAAAGGTTAAACGACTGAATGACGTGGCATAAACTAACGTCGAAAGTATATTACGTGCATCGACATATCGTCAAGTCTGTCAACAACTAGTGATCGATTGTATAGTTTTTTATTAAATTTAATGAACTCAAAAATATTTTAAAGGTTAAACAAAAATTTTGAGAAACAATATAATCGACAATTAGGATATTTAGCCTCTATTTGATAGAGATTAAAATTAGATTTTTATCAGATTTTGATAAAATTTAATGTAACGTGTGATTGAAAAGTCGTGGAGCCTACAAAATGTATAATTAAAATTAATTATTGATTTAGACATAAATTAATCAAATTTCAAATAAGTTGATAGTAAATTTACGTACCCTTTCTACAAATATGTAAACCCCATAGGGTGATAAATAAAATTTGAAAATAGTGGGGATTGATTGCAATTAACTGTTTTTGTTTACAGAGGAAAAAAATTGTCTCGGAGGCCAAATCCCCAGCACACAGAGCTGAGCTGAGTCCACCGAAGAGATTCGACAGCGGAGTGTTCAATTAATCGGTACAGTAATGAGATACGTAGAAGAAGCCAGAGAAAATCACGTCAAGAAGAAAGTTGAGGAAGGTAAAATTATTTGATTAATTAATTATTCATATATTCCTTAAGCCCTATTTCGTGGTTTTTATGTTCAAATCACATGACGTTGATGCACTTCATTTACTTCTGTGAAGTGATTTATTGGATTATCATTTGTTCTCAGCTCTTATTGCATGAAACGGGTCACCGATTCCATTGAGATAACTGTAGATATCACCAATTCTATTGAGAACATAGAACAGTACAATCCAATTCAACAGTACAGTAATCCTTGGGTATAATTGGAAAGAGCTTGCATCTCCCTAGATCAGTTGGCATGGTCATCTAATTGTTAATATTCACCATGTTTCGCCATGTTTTGGGGATTATTTAGCTGTGATGACTGTCTGCCATCAAAGATTATCTTATTGTGTTATGTATCCACCATTGAATCTGTTTTGATGTGTATGGTTATGTTGCAAAGAAGATATCACCAATTTGCATAACTTTGCATGTCTGTATTGTTGAGTTCATGTGTAAGATGCAATAATTCATTCATAAAAAAACCTCAGCTTTGCGCAGTAAAATGAAGCAGAAGGCACTAAAGGAATGTGAAAATTATGCAGCAAAATACGCTGAATGTGCCTCCGGGAGAACAATGTCAGTTGTTTGGAAATGTCGTGAACAAGCTAATCAATTAAATCAATGCCTTCATCAGTAGTAAGTTTTCTCATATGTATTTTGAAAGACTTGATGAGCTTGATATTATGCTTATAGAAATGTTTACAAGAAAACCAGAAAATTTTTGACAATTTTGGAAAGGTTCTTCTAATTTCCCAAGGCCACTGGTCAGTTGACAAAAATCGAAATATTATTTTATCTATCTCTAAAAGGGATTTGATGCTGAAATACAAAAAAATAGTAGTTTTATTTATTCCTCCTATGTTCAATTTCAAGGTGCCATGAAAGAGGATTCTCAATTGAGCTAGTATTAATACCATAAGAGCAAAGTATGAAATTATCCTCAAGCAAATTGGGCATATTATGCTAATGTCAACTTTGTACATGTAACTGCACTCATTAATATGTAGAGATAAAGAACGTCACAATGCTGTTCTATCAATCCCAGATTATTAAGTAGGCAAAATCTCACAAGGAAGCTACCTAGTGGTCAAAAGCATTTTAGATTGACTATAGAGACGAACATGCATCCATAGCTAAATGTGATGGCATATTGGAAGGCTATTTTATTGGAATGAAATGCTAATGTAATCCAAATCATTTCCACATGCAGCCCCATCCACCCTCAGCCCTGCAGGAAAAACATATTTAGGCCCTGTCTGGGATAGATTTGAAAGTAAAAAATCGATTTTCTGCCCGTTGTTGTCTCCTGGTCTGACACAGAATTCAGGCCTTTTCTGTGATTTTTCAACCGTTGAACAATTCAACGGTAAAACAATCACTTTTTAGCAAAATTAATAGCACTCCCAGACAGTGCCTTATATGAAAGAAGAGAAAAAGGAAAAACAAACCAAAAAATGCTAGCACTGATAACTTCCATTGAAGATAGTTATTCGTATATAGTGAGGCTACATAATTCATGATGTAGTTGTTGCATGCTTGCTATTTGCAGAAAACCGTTGCATTTTACAGGTTATTTTCTTAAGTTGTTGATCTTTCTATCACTGATTATGTAGAAAACCTATTAATTTAGTTTCTGGAAGATGAAAACTATAAATATGGAATTTGTTTCAATGATGACGTTTTTCTTGGTGCAGCTTTTTTAGATTTTAAATAGTTGAGAAGTCCATTACTAATAATTTGCGTTGAACCCAGTTTCACAAACTACATTCTTGTACTAAACTCGAAATTTCACTTAAATTGTCTAACATTCGCCTTTTATTGTTCTCCTGTAGCACGAACGACTATGTCTTGGAACAAATGAAGAAAGAATACATGATGGGAAGGGATCTCTAAGAATCTGAGTTTTTGCTCTTAAATGATTGCCAACCATACCCGTTGGACAAATGTGTAGAAAGTTGGAGCAGAATACGTAGATGAGTGTGATTTTTTGGCTTAATGTGCTAGGTAGTGCATCTAATTTGTGCTTATATTATCTTTAGAGAAGATAATTTGGCATATCATCCAATTGTGGTCTAGAGTCTAGACAAGACTTTTCCCTTATATCAGCGTTGCTACACTTGAAGGAATCTTCCTGGTACAGATTGAAGTGGATATCTGATTTTCTTTTCGTGGATGTTTTGGTCAAAATGACTATAATAGAATGCCTAATAAGCGTTTGTATTCAACATG